GGTTGGAAGAGGGGGGGAGGTAAGGGGTACTTTGATTGAAGATAGTGTCGTGAAGATTATTTTTTTTTATTAACTGAAGATATTTAGCTCATAAAATTCATACAAATTACCGGTCAGAATATAATTTACATTGCTGAATTTTATAATTTGGTGATCATTTTGAATATAAACATCATATATTTTGCTTTAAACTTACAAATTTTAGATAAAAAATTTTTCTCAGGGTAACTATAGTTATCTTTGTGCAAAATATATGACATTTATATTCAAATATTCCTGGTCTTACAAGGAATCCAGCAATGTCAATTATATTATCCTAACTTTAGTTTGAGGTTATCCCACAAATCTCCTTGGACGTTGTGGGGGTGGGAACCACCACCATCTGTTAGCTGCCGTAGTGTGAGAGGGGAGGGAGTTGAGTCCATTATTTGAATGGACATTAACTTGCACTGTATTTCTATTTCTCTTAAGTATTAATTGTGTGCATGTACCATCATAAAATTAAGATGTTATTTTTACTACAACATAGGTATGTGTCTTCAAAAGTGGAGTTTGGGGGTCGGGCCGGTTTCTATTGGAATTAATCCTATATGTTCTGTTGTTCACTTAACGCTGATTTCACTTCTAAGCAGGACCCCTGTTCAATTGACCGCTAAGGGGTACAATCATATATCCTATATACAGGGTGTCCCATAAGTTTCTACAACGTATCACCAACGCATTACAAGCATAACTCCACAGAGCTTGGACTGCTGTTCTTCAGCAGAGGACACGACAAGAGTTCTCAACAGAATGTGGTAGTCATGCAGAACCAGACTTTCTACCATGTGCATCTACTCATATACGTGATGTATAATTTTTCTTTTATTTAGCTCATAAAATTCATACAAATTACCCGCCAGAATATAATTTACATTGCTGGAATTCTTACAATATGATGATCATTTTGAATATAAACATCATGGATTTTATTAGACATACAAATTTTAGATCTTATGTAATAATTTGGTTTACACAAGTAAATATTTTATCTTTTGTGCAAATATATAGAAGTTTACATTCAAAATATTCCTGACCTGCAAGGAATCCAGAAATGTCAATTATATTATCCCAACTTTAGTCTGGTATTATTTATTACTAAACGTTAAAATCTAGTGTTTCACCCAATCATTTCTCCAGAGAGGTAGGGCCAGTGAGCTGGGAAGAAAGGAGATTTGAGTCCATTATTTGAATGGACATTAACCTGCGACTGTATTTCTCTTAAATATTAATTGTGTGAGCATACCATCATAAAATTTAGATGTTATTTTACTACAACATAGGTATTGTCAGTAGGAAAAAGTGGAGTTTGAGGTCGGGCCAGTCTCTATTGGAATTAATCCATGTTCTGTTGTTCACTTTCACGGTACCCTGTGGAGTTCAATTGACGTAAATTGGGGTAATATATATATATATATATATATATATAGTTATACCAGTCAATTAGCTGAAATCATTTAATGGTAGTGAAAACAGCGTTAATGAATAACAGAACATATGGATTAATTCAATAAACATTAAAATTAAGAAAAGTTAATGACACTCACTGTCTTCCTCAATTTTGAAAAAATAAATAAAGTTAGGATAATATAATTGACATTACTAGATTCCTTGTACCAAACCAGGAATATTTTGAATATAAATGTCATATATTTTTCACAAAAGATAACATATTTACTCAGAATAAACTTTACATCTAAAATTTGTATGTCTAATGCCAAAATCTATGATGTTTATATTCAAAATGATCAGCAAATTGTAAGAATTTCAGCAATGTAAATTATATTCTGGCCGGATAATTTGTATAGATTTTATGAGCTAAAACAAATATCTTCAGTTAATAAAAAAAAAAAAATATTCTTGACACTATCTGTCCATCAAAAGTACCCACCTTGCCTTCCCCCTCTTCCAACATGGCGTGGTCAGTCCCAACCCTCCCCCCACCCCACCAATCCTCCATTCAGAGTTTTTAACATTTAGTATTAAATAATACCTCAGATTAAAGTTAGGATAATATAATTGACATTGCTGTATTCCTTGTAGACCAGGAATATTTTGAATATAAATGTCATATATTTTTGGACAAAAGATAACATAATTACCCTAAAGAAACAATTTTATCTAAAATTGTATGTTTTATACAAAATATATGTTGTTTTATATTCAAAATGATCACCAAATTATAAAATTCCAGCAATGTAAATTATATTCTGGCTGGGTAATTTGTATGAATTTTATGAGCTAAAACAGGCAGTCAGGCAGGGTGGCGGGTGGGAGTGGTCGAATCTAAAAATAGCTCTCGAGCGGACACTCACGTATATGATGAAAATGCGCGTTAAGTGAAAAGTTCAGCTGGCAAGGCACGCGTATATCGCAGCGTTAAGTGAAAGCGTTAAGCGGGGTAATATATATATATATATATATATATATATATATATATATATATATAGATAGATGAATGAATAGATAGATAGATAGATAGATAGATAGATGAATGGATGAATGGATAGATGAATGAATGAATGAATAGATAGATGAATGAATAGATAATATATATATATATATATATATATATATATATATATATATATATATATATATATATATATATATATATATATATATATATATATATATATATATATATATATATATATATGCAAGTAAATCACTGTAAGGTGCGCGTGATCTAGGTATATACTGTAGCCACAAGTAAAGAAAGAAAAGTTCCCCCAAGCGCTTTCTTTCCTTGTAAGATTTATCACATATATATATATATATATATATATATATATATATATATATATATATATATATATATATATATATATATATATATATATATATATATATATATATATATATATACTGTATAAATACTGTATATATAAAACATTAGCACCAGTTGATCTGATCTTAATATTTTAAAGTTGCTAGGGAACTTCAGCATAAGTAAGTGTACAGGAAATCTATCATCTTAATTTAACTCCCTCTCTTGAGCCTTATTAAGGTGCTGTAGTCTGCTTCATTAATGATTATAATCATTAATGTACAATATTCAGTACTGGAAAATTTACTAGTCTCAGACAGATTTATTTATTTTAATCAAATAAAATGAATGTCATCCTGATCATGACATACACTTGTTCCCTCACAAAACTGAGTACTCTACAGGTATTACTGACTCTAATCATGGTGAAAACTGGTACTTTATTGCATAGTGTTTCTTGTTGGGACACATTACTATATGTCTTACTGACTTGCTTCATATACTCAACCTAACCTGGATAAGTTTGCCTTCATTCTTAAAATACACCCTGTTAGCCTTCACTTGACACATAATAGAGTAGACCTCTGGGATCAGGACAGCTCCTATGTAGTACTGTATAAACAGTTTCTTTATGTTTCAAAATATATTTTGTCTTATTCTAAACTGATCACTCTGTACGGTACGGTACAGTACAGTACGGTACAGTACAGTACAGTACTAGATTTCAAATCCTATTTCAGAAACAGTACTCATGTGTATTAGTCATTCTTCTTATGAATACTTAAAACATGACTGACTAAGGTACTTTTTTGAGTAGCACGATAAGGACATTCTGTGCAGGCATAAGGTTTCTCCCCTGTGTGAGTACGAATGTGTGGTTTTAAACTTTCTTTCTGAGAAAATCGGAAATTACAGTAAGGGCAACCATATGGTTTTTCTCCAGTATGAATACGTATGTGCTTTGTTAAATGAAATTTCTTGGAGGTAGAGTATTCACAATAAGAACACTGATGAGTCTTGCTAGTGGTGTCTTGTCCATCTGTGTTCTGAGGAACCCTCTTTGACTTCACCTGTGAGGGAAAGTGACCTTAGATTCCTAATAAAATATGCAAATTTATATAAATTGGATGTGATAATGTGCTCAACCCACTAAGACATATACATTCAGTATTGTATATTTTTGTCCTCTTTAGGCAGCAACAACAAAAAAATTTAAAATAATAAACTAAATGTACTGGTAAACTATAAAATAATAAACTAAATGTACTGGTAAAGAAATATGAAGACACACATCACCATAAAATGAATATGTAAATAAAAATTGAAAAAAATTATTCATAACTTTGAGATTCGGTGAGATGTTTGTCTATTACAATAGTATGAGGAGTGTGATAAGTGAGTCAAGATGGAAAATGAGGTCCTAGGTAGGAATGTCAAGAAAGATGTTTAAGAGTCAAAAAAATTGCAGTAAATGGTGACATTTAGTGAATGTGTTACAGGTAAATCTTCAATATTAAAGATGTAAACCATAGTGGCAACTGCCGAGTATATTCAGCTTTCCCAATAATTGGTCCCGATGTTGCACAATAAGTGTTTTTGGTATTTCAGATTATTGGGTTAATGATAAAGTAAATATACTATGACTACACTATGAGGAGTTTCAGAAATATGTTTCATAATTTGGGAGGTGTACTCCTGAGACATTCATAAGGATAAATGACTCCATGATCATAGTGTCAATACTCCATAGTTTTGGGTAAGGGAGGACTGCAACAAGTCTATGGACATAAAACAAAATATCAAGCCCTATTTAAAGTAAGTGGAAACAGGTCTAGTGGGTCTGCTGACAATCCACATACAGTGACACGTACATCTCGTCAAGTACGATTCACAATCAATGTTTGGGCCGGCATTATTGGTGACCACTTTATTGGCCCATATCTGTTATGCCAGCAACTGACAGGTGAAACATACACTCATTTTCTTGAGGACTCTTTGCCAGTGATGCTGTAGGATGTACCCATCAGGATATGTCAACAACTATGGTACAAGCATGATGGTACCCCAGCTTATTTTGGTTGAGTAACAACAGGTGGATAGAACGGCCCTGTTCCATGGCCACCTCGATCACCTGACCTAAATCCCCTTGACTTTTACAGGGCCATGTTAAAATCAAAATGGCTGCTACAGAGGTCCAAACTCATAAGGAATTGTGGCACCAAGAGCAAGACAGTGCCACAAGCATTCTCATCACCCCTGGAGTCATCGAACATGTACGAGTCACTTTTGTGATGGGCTGAAGCCTGCATTCAGGAAGAGGACTGGAACTTTGAACATTTACTGTAAAATCCATATTAGATTGCTTATGATTGTAAATAAACTTTGCTAACAACACAGGAATTTCCTTTATACTCTGTAGATTTTATCACATTCCAACTCCAACAACTGTCATGTGTTATAACTCCAAAACTATCCTTATGTATGTCTCCAGGAATACACCCCCAGAATCATGAAATGTACTGTATTTCTGAAACACTCTGTATATAACATCCAAAGACAAATTCACTAACTCAATCAATCCAACTTTCTAGCAGAGCCTGTAGCTGAGGGACTCTTGTTACTGTGCATGTCCAAAATAGGTGGGGAGGAGGGGGGAACATCGTGCCTTACCCCAGTTACCAGTAGCAGCTTGAAGCTGATTTCATGGTCATCAGTCCCATCTTGTCACAACCATCACCCTCAATGAAAGTGCTTACAGTAAAACCCCTATAATTTATACCCTTCAAATTCAAAATCAATTACAAAATATATATTGCAAATTTTGTAATATGAGACAAACTAATATTTTTCAGTCTTGGATCCAGGTAAGGTGGCTGTGCTAATTTTCTCTACATTACAAATAGGAACTGCTATAGTCTTGATCTACTCACTGTCAATATCACATAGCACTAATTACAAAAGTGTCACTGTATACTCTCTATGTAATAAACTACTGTTCTACGTCATGATATTCAGGGTCAAAGGGTTGCATTTATCCATCTTTTATGCAAATATCAATAACCGACTGTAAATGCCAAACATCATCTATAACTTGAATCTATAGTTGGAATATAAGTACAGTGCAGTATGGTCTTGTGTTAAATATTAACTAAAATTACAGGCAATGACCATTATATGATGGGGTCAGGGACCTCAAAATGCCATCATTAAGTGATCGAGCGTATACTGTATTGTTATTAATACTGTAACTTAAGGGGAAAAATAGGTTATGTTCTTGAGCCCCTGAAGAGCCCAAACAAGGGTGTTGATATGAAGGACCTAATGTGGTCATGGAGACACCAGGTGGTGTGATGTTCACGTGGTGTAGTAACTCGTCCTCGGGTGTTGATATGAAGGACCTCACGTGGTCATGGAGATGCCAGGTGGTGTGGTGTTCACGTGGTGTAGTAACTCGTTCTCGGGTGTTGAAATGAAGGACCTCACGTGGTCATGGGGTCACCGGGTGGTGTGGGGTGGTGTCATAGTACCTCGCCTGCTGGGTGGTGTTGTGTTATCTTGTAGTCAGGTGCATAGTCGGCTGGCCCTCTGTTGTTCCCATGGTGGACTGATTAGCACCTCCTGGTGAGAAGACGGCGGTCAGTTCCCAGGGGTGCTTATCCCACTGGTGGGTCACGGTTTTCATTGGTACTGTCTAGTGCTGAATTCACTGGCTTAAACACTGTTCATCAATGTTCAACACTGGTCCCACTTCTTTCCGAAACGAAATTGCCACTTTTGATTATGTTGCTATCCCGGTGGTGAGGATGGGTCGGGGAGAGAGACTTGGGGAATGGGCCGAACATTGACCAATGGGGGGCAGCTGCACAGCAGGAGCAGAGCCTGAATAGGTTTCGCCCCTATGTGTGTGTGTGTGTGTGTGTGTGGACTTGGCAGGCAACCAAGTTAGATGTCACCGTAGTTACATTGCCTTACCTCTCCCCCTACCATGCGAAACTGTGTTTTTTTTAATTTTTCAACTTGTTATTTTGAGTAGATATACTGTACAGTGATCCCTCGGTTAACGAACGCCTCGGTTAACGAAATTTCGGTTAACGAACTGCCTTCCATAAGAATCTTCAATTCGGTTAACGAACAAAAATTCGGTTAACGAAGTTCTTATGAACCGATCTCAACATGTTTTCGCTTGCACTGGCCGGGCAACCAGCTTTAGTATCAGTCCGCCAATACATTAATCGGTTCTAGGGCTTAAATTCCTTACTATTTTAGTAAATATCAAGAAGTTTATACTATTCAATAATTTTAAAAGTTTAATATTCAATTTTTTAGTCATTTTAACAATTATTGAACATAATTGAAGGTAAAGTGACTAGTTTAATGCGCGGCATCCAGCCTCTTAACACAGCAAACAGGCGTTAGTCTCTCTCTGTTTTCACTGGAGGTAACATCTTGCTTGAGACTCTCTTCAACTAAACGCTTTTTTTCTATGTTTCCAAGCAAATTATTGGTCATTTTGAAATATATTTTACACATTGACAATATATAATGCAGTGCAGTGTTGATTTAAAGAAAATAATCTTGAAATACACCAAAAGAACTAAAATTTTATGGGTGAAATGGTGCCATGGGGTGACTTCTCTTCCACCCCAGTGCCTTCTCTTCTTCCTTCTCCTCCACCCCCATTCTAATTCCCATCATCATCATCATCATCCAGGAGCCTTCTACATACACACCTCAAAGTAAGTGAACTTTTCTACCATTTTTGTTGAATTTAGGAAATTTTCGGTGAGCTGGAACCAATTACCCAAAAACCCATTGAAACAATGGTTTCGGTTAACGAACTTTTCGGTTAACGAACTACCTGCTGGAACGGATTGAGTTCGTTAACCGAGGGACCACTGTACAGTAAACCCTTGTTATTTGCGAATAGCAGCTTATACTCCTTTACTGCTCTACTGTATGCCTACAGGTATACCAAACAACTGACCAGCCGCTCGCACTCATCCCCACTGTTAACTTATCTAATAATAAAACTTTCTTTGTCAGGGTCATCACTGACTTCTGCCTTTTACATTTCACTACACAAACATCAATAACACTGACACTAGGCAGTCTTTTACGGGCCATTTCATACAAAAACACTAAAGTTTGGGAGTACAACACAAGATGTTGCGTGGGGTGACTCATTGTGCTGTGAGAAAAGGCTTACAAGCTAGCCACCATAGCCACTATCTGCTTACCGCGAATTGTCGAAATAGCGACTGGCAAGGGTCTACTGTACATATTTTTATCCATTTTCTTTTACTCTGTTACTTGTCCACACAATTGTTCATACAGAATGGGGAGTAGTGGTGGTAAGGAGTGGTCGTGGGTAGTGGTGGTGGGGAGTGGTGGCATGAGTGTGAGTTGTAATATTATTTTTCAAAGGTTCATACAGAATGTGAATAAAAATAAAAGAAATTATCAAAATAAGGTAAAAAAACATAAAGGTAATAAAAATTTCTTAGCTTCCGGGAATCGTGGGAGGGGTGAGGGGGCGCAGTGTCGGCATCTCAGCCTCCCGGCAAGCTGCGAGCTGTGTTATTGTTATTTTTCAACTCGTATTTTCAAGCAGATATACGTCATTTTCTTCACATTTTTTACTCTGTTACAGGTAGAGTAAAGCCTCCAATAATGATGATTCATATTTAAGACCCTGGTTAATTGAGGACCCAATTCAATTTACGTCATTATTTTCTTCGTATTTACGACGAAAAGTTGCAACTGCACTGGTACAGTATATTATTATTATTATTATTATTATATACAAAGAATAGCTTCCTCCACATGCAAACCATCCTCTGGGCAATGTGACATGTTCAACTGCTTAGCCTGGCAATCACCAAGGATGAGCAGAGCCTCCCACATGGGTCACATGTATTACGCCATTCCGACATTGCCTCATGATATCTCGGAATACTGTGAGTTATTGCACATCCATTTTTCATAGCAGTAACAATGAAGGAAAAGCATTTGGGTAGCGACCATTGTAAAACTGATCTATAGTCATTGCATAGTGGTAAATGGTATTAATTTTCTTACATCGTAAAACTAATCGAGCACATATTGATCCATTGTATAATGGTCATTGCCTGTAATTGAATGACTTTGAGTCATTTCATTTGTTCTATTTTTCAAATTTCCACTTATCATGTGAACTAGTCAAATATTTTATGAATGCTCAAGACATGGCTAGCAAGTGCACTTTTTTGAGTAGCACGATAGGGACACTTGTCACAAGCAAATGGTTTCTCTCCAGTATGAGTACGTATATGAGACTTTAGATTTCCTTTCCGGGCAAAGGCAGCAGGGCAGTGTGGGCATTGAAAGGGTTTTTCTCCTGTGTGAATACGTATATGCTTTGGTAGGTTCAGTTTTTGGTTCGTGGAATATGTACAATATGGACACTGATGAGTTTTGCAGCTAGTTGCTCTTCCATCTGAGTTCTGATGATTCATGTTTGACTCCACCTGTGAGGAAAAGTAGCCTTAAATTCCCATTACAAGAAAAATTTAAAATTTATGTACCATAGAATATACTGTACAATACAGTACAGTACTGTACTTAAAAAAATTCTAGAGTAAAAGGAAGATTAAACCATAAAACTTTAATCTAATTTTCTTGAGAAACAGATTCTATGAACCTCGTTCTAAATATCTTTTTTCTTGCGCATACACACACACACACACACACACACACACACACACACACACAAAGTTCTTTCCAATATAATTCAACTCCATTACAGGAATTCTCATGTTTCAAGAATCTTTACTTATTTCTCAGTACATACAACAACAACAAGACAACAGTATAACTTCACATTCTCATTTTAAGGTGATGGTGATACTGTACCAGGACTGTAATACAAATAATTTCCACTTTAACTTTAGTCCTTACATTAATTTTCTCGGCTTCATGTCACAGTACAACGGGTCCTCGTTGTAAGAGGTTTCACACTTAAGTTCTCAAATAGTTGCAGACATCCACGTAAAAAGTCCCCGCAGTTAAGAGGATTCTTAGGATGAAATTCGCCAACATTTGGAAGCACAAATGTTTGAGCGATTGAAATTCCCACCGGCCTCCCATTCTCTTAAAGGTCATCCTTCTCACCCACACTATGCATGCTCAGTGCCAGTCGTCTGTGTCCGCAGGTATTATTTTGAAGTGCTCCAACAATTATAATTATCAACTTTGTTGTATCTTTGGTGACATTGGTGGACTGTTTTGTAGCCATCAGCTCCAAGCCGAAGCAAGGATAGTGTAGTGGCTAAAAGGAAGCGTAGTAGCTATGGGATGGACGTGAAATTAGAAGTTACACGTCATAAGAAAAGTGGTGAGCATGTCTCAATGAACCACTTTGAGCACTTTTACTGAACTGAGTGTGTGAGTGCGTGGTTAGATAGCTTGCAACCGCATCAACACACCGACCCTAAACGACTTTAAGTTGCTTAAATAAGTTGTAAAGGTAAATAATTTCATAAAATAATGTGTAAGTAAATGTTTAACAAATGTTTCTATGGTACCAAATTAAACTTTGGGAGTGTCATTTAGAATGTGATGGTCCTGATTTAGACCCTATTTCTTTTAATTCTTATGGGAATTATTTCCCCTTGATAAGTGGATTCATTATCAGTGGCTTTTGTCTGGCCACTATTAACCACTTATAACGAGGAACCCCCGTAATAATTTCTTATCAAACCCTGAGGACCGTAAATACCATACATCGTAAATAATGCACACTGTAAAATACCACACACTGTCAGTTAATCACAGCACAGTATATATATCTAGAATATGGGGTCATGATCCAAATTCCTATATATACAGTAGTATTACCTAAAAATCAACTTGAACGAATACGGTATTACCCGCTTTACACGGTTTCGGGTTTCACTTCCCACAATTTCTCGGTACCTTGCCAGAACCGGACTTTCACTTTCCTTTCACTTTCCGCGGTGCATCTACTCATATACGCGGTGATGTATAATTTTTTTTTTTTTATTTAGCTCACAAAATTCATACAGATTACTCGGCCAGAATATAATTTACATTGCTGGAATTATTACAATATGATGATCATTTTGAATATAAACATCATGGATTTTGCATTAGACATACAAATTTTAGATCTAATGTAATAATTTGGTTTACACAAAGCAAATATTTTATCTTTTGTGCAAAATATATGAAGTTTACATTCAAAATATTCCCTGACCTGCAAGGAATCCAGAAATGTCAATTATATTATCCTAACTTTAGTCTGAGGTATTATTTATTCCTAAACGTTAAAATCTAGTGTTTTCACCCAAACATTTCTCAGAGAGGTAGGAGCTAGTGAGCTGGGAAGAAAGGGGGGAGGGATTTGAGTCCATTATTTGAATGGACGTTAACCTGGCGACTGTATTTCTCTTAAATATTAATTGTGTGAGCATACCATCACAAAATTTAGATGTTATTTTTACTACAACAAAGGTATTGTGTCCGAAAAAGTGGAGTTGGAGTTTGGGGATCAGGCCAGTCTCTATTGGAATTAATCCCATATGTTCTGTTGTTCACTTTACACGGTTTTCACTTTCCGCAGTGCCCTGTGGGTTCAATTGCCCGCGTAAATCCGTAAATCGGGGTATGACTGTATTTTTTTTTTCAATATTATAATAAGCAAATCCTTCTGAAACACAAAAGGTAAAGATTACGTAATAAACAATGGATGGGCAGACCTTGTGTGGTAAAGAACATTTTACAGTCATAGCCAACATGCTTCCTCCTAACCTTAAAACATTGCATTTGCTGGGTTTCTTTTCTGTCTGGGCTTGTTATGCTCACGATAATATTTTTTGTGAGTAAATTTTCATATTTAGAACAATGTAACCACAGCAATCTTTGAAGTGTTCCTACCAGAGTAAAAAAAATACTCTGTGAACCAGATAATTCAGAAACCCTTAAAAGTACCACAACCTGGACTGACTACCGACTCTACTATATTCATGGCTCAGTAAGCAGACAAGGGAGGTCAGAAGTATGAGATAGACTTGAGTGTATTTGTATGAACAATACTGTACTGTAGTGAGAAAAAGTGGAGTGTGTGTTTCTATGAACAACACTTGTGAGGTGGAGTGTAGTGGGATGGGTAGTCACGGTTGTGGTGTCTGGCAACTTCCTCAGTTTGCTCTGAGATAAGGGAGGAAAGCTGTGGGAGGGAAGGGGGGCAGCAACAGGTTACACAATTTTTGTACCTGTACAACACATACAGTATCCTGTAGTTTCATGTTACACTAATACAGTTCAGTACACAGGTATCCCTTGTTTAGTGTTAATTCACTTAATGCTAAATGAGTTTGATAAAGAAAATTTGACAGGCTTTCTCATTTAACATTTGGTCAAAATTAAGTCAAGTGATAACTTGACTCACTGGGTAGGGGAAAAACTAGGGATTAGGTGGACCTGTGACATGGCATGTTGCCACTGTTACATGTACAGTACAGGCAGTCCCTGGGTTACGAACGTCCGACTTACGAACATCCACCGATATGAATGAGATTAAACTTTAAATTTACAGTATTTTATTTACCTGGTGACTTTTTTTCTTCCATTTACTGTATTTTGTCATTCTATTTCTTCCTTTCTCTTAAATTATGTGATTCTAATGTATTAAAAGGGCTTAGGTATTTAAACATTGTTCTGTAAGTACAGTATGCACATAAGGTACGTGGTTCGACTTACGTACATTTTCGACTTAAGAACGTCTGTAGGAATGGAACTCGTTCGTAATCCGGGGCTTGGGTGTAATTAAACTATAAAGTTGTGGAAAATCATTACAATACTCTAATGTAGCTTACAAATGAAGAAAAATTTAATACGTATAAAACTACAAAATAAGATGAATAAAGAGCAAGGTTGTGTATGTGTAGGAAGTGAACGTATGCATGGACTGAAGGAGGCAATTGACTGTTACTGTGTCACCGACTTGCCACCCACCCACATTCCCTACCCTGATATGACAACACACACACACACACTACATCCTTGATCACCATAGGGTCAAGACCTATCGGGCACCCGCTACTGCTGTGGCAGTTGTCCCAGGAGAATGTTTGGACCATTCCTCAAGTCCCTCTCCGCGACTCATCCTCACCACCGGGATATCAACATGATTCCGTCAAAAGTGACAATTTCATTTCGGAAAGAAGTGGGATCAGTGATGAACAGCGTTCAAGCCAGTGAATTCGGCACTAGACAGTACCAGCGAGAGCAGTGACCTACCACTGAGATAAACACCCCTGGGAACCATCCACCATCTTCTGGTCAGGCAGTGTTAGTAGGTCCACCCTGGGAACAACCATAAGATAACACAACACCACCTAGCAGAGATTGAGGTACTCTGACACCACACCACACGGTGTCTCCATGACCACGTGAGGTCATTCATGTCAACACCCGAGGGCGAGTCACTGCACCACGTGGCCCTTGTGATCTCACACAGTATGGCAAGAGACCAGCCCGGGCCATCAACTGCCAACTATAATAAATTGTACTGTATGTTCAATTCACGTTCTTTCTTCATTTAGTTATGAAAGCTTTTGTTAAACGACCCAACTACCCCATGTCTTTGTATGTAACAAGCCATTTTTGTCTAATGTATATTTTTAGCCTTCGGGCAGATGAACTTTTAAAAAAACCTTAATTAATATTATTTATTATTATTATCTCAGAGTTAGCTGGTGTGACTGCCCGGCTGAACTATGTCGTGTCGCCCAGAGGACGGTTTGAATGTTGAATAAGCTATTTTTTGTACGTACATAAAATATGAGCTACTTATTGTATTTTATGATATACTACATACCAATTTTATTGTTTATCACAGCAATTTTTTTTCATTTTTGACATATGCAATTTGAAATTTGTTTGAATTAGGCTCACCTTTTGCTCAATAAATTGTTTAATTCTGTACCATAACAGTTATATAGAAGTCTGGTGTTAAGAAATCAATCATTAAACTTCAAAACCATTTATCACAAACTTGTTATTATTATTATTCAGGAAAGTGTACTCAGTGTTTACCACTCTGCCGTTTGAACCTGTTGTATGCCCCCTGTGCTTTGCTCTTATCCCTCATTTAGTGATACTGTAATTATGCTTATTATTAGATTTTCAGGAACACAACCCCATCATTAAACTAGGGATACCTGGATATCTATTATACATAATTTTTTAAAGGCTTGTATTGCCACTCCTGGTGAACCTTTCTTTAGCTACTCAACAGCTGCCTCATGCATGGAAAATTACCACCACCATCCCAGTACCCAATACTGTATCCCACATCTTCTCAAAGATGGTGAAAAACATGATTTGCAATCACCATAACTAAATGGTTGACTCTCATTTGCATTCTGACCAGTACGTATAATTTTTTTCCCAGAAAGTACTCTGTCCACTATCTAGCAAATGCTGCAACTCAAACCACCCACTTGGTTTATCTTCAGTGTGTGATTGACAAGGCCAATGGTCACATGATGCTCGAGGGTCTCACATGGATGTGAAGTGCAAATTCCTTGTGTGGATTGTAAACTGCTTC